AGGAGTAATGTATTTCTGTCATGACAACTCTTTGGAGTGTTTTGCAATGGTAATGGATATACAAAATTGATATGTTTGGTCTTGAAAAGAGCAATCTATGAGTAATCATGACAGAACTTTGTATTCACACAGAGCCAAAGCACAACCAAAACAATGTTCTTACAAAATGCATGCAAGTGTTACTTTAAAGGGATAGATTCACTTTGAAATTAATTTTTGATATGTTTTAGCTTACCTCTATGGCATCCAAGATCTAGGTGTCTTTGTTTCCGCAGTAGTTTCAATTTTGATATTTTTAGGTCAAACCGTTGATGATCAGTCATATAATGGAGGTCTATGGTCACCACCTCAAAGAGCATGCACAGAGAAGTCCAAATTAAACATGATTTAATGACTCGTAAATGTAAGTACACATTGATGGATTAAGACACAAAAGGAGTGGTTTGTGTAAGAAAACGAACAGATATATCAACAGACAACGTTGAATTTTTTCGCAACCGCACGAGAGATCACTTCCGGCGTTTGCGCAGACCGAAGAGTCCGCACCCTCAGATCAGTTGGACGTGGCTGTGCTTACAAGAGGTAAAAACGATATAAATACTGTTCGTTTTCTCACACAAACCACTCGTTTCGTGTCTTAGGCCATCAATGTGTACTTACATTTACGAGTCTCTGTGCATGCTCTTTGAGGTGGTGACCATAGACCTCCATTATATGACTGACACACAAGAACGGTTTGACCTAAAAATATCAAAATTGAAAATACTGCGGAAACAAAGACACCTACATCTTGGATGCCCTTGAGGTGAGCTAAAACATACCAAAAATTAATTTCAAAGTGAACAATCCCTTTAAGTAAATAAGGTCCGAAATGCTGTAAAATGTTCCAATCATTTGTCTAAAAAACCCCGAAAACATCATTCAAATGTCAAGGAATGCGTTGGGAAAAGCATATTTACAACGTGGTCAGAGAGCGACGTGTCTGGCATCATAAGAACGGCCGACCTCGTTCCACGCTCTTGATTTGGACGCCGCCGGTTGCACAGACCTCAGTGGCTGCGAATGTTTCGAATGAATGTGGCCATTTCTATTTCTCATATTGCACTTAAACATGTTTGCAGTAAAATCATACACAAATGTCTCCGTTTCAGTTTTGATTCAACTTGTCTTGTTGTGTTTTCTGAGATTGTGGATAATTCAGCTGGAAGGGCTTTTGAAGAGGAGTTCAAGGGAATGTTTCAGACAGAAAAAGCCCTTTTGATCTGCCGGCTGTGTGTCTGTGGCATAACAGTTTTATTAATATTGCCAAATCAAAGAATTTGTATTTCAGTCTTTATCTCTCATCAAATCCTAATTCCGGCTTTTAAATGCAGGACTTTGGGACAGTTGAGTTGCGCGACCCGTTCAGGCAATTTCAGGCCTCAGATAATGAAAGGAATCTGGAAGAAAAGAAAAAAAGGATTAAAAATTGAAAGATGCATATAAAAGTAATACTGATCTTTAGTAATATTTGTTGTGATAATGTTTGCATGAGTTATTGCAGGTGCCGGACTCTGAAAGAAAGCATGTGTCGTCCATTGGACACAGTAATCATGCCGGCAAACGCTGACCCTCCTCTTCATTAAAGAGCTGCTGTATTTGTGCGACGGCCTTTTCATCAGAGCGTAACTGTATGAGCTGACTGTAAACTGGGATAGTGAGTTAGACAAGAGCAGCTGCTTCTCATCATGATACTGCCACGGGAGATTAGCATCCAACCATGACATTCACACACACGCAAACCCAGTCCAGATATTACAGAATCAGACCTCTGCAAATCACACACAACTATATCCAAACATCTGATGTGAGCGTGAAGAATTTTAACCTCCTATTACATGTTCAGGTTCAAAATCTCAGGTCACGAACAAACTGCAAGTATTGGGAGTGACGATCACATTTTGGAGTTATTCTCAGTGTACAGATGATGACACTATCACGCTATGATCGACATAGTGATTACTTTAGCAATGTTTTTTGTGTCTTGCAGCTGTAAACAGGAAATACACATGCAAGTTGACTACTGAAATGTATTTTTAAACGTTGTTCGAACCCCAAACGACGTGCCAAGTGAGCTGAACTGTATGAACGGCGTTCGTGGTTCGACTTGTCGAGACTGTTTTGCTAAGATGGCTCCTGCCTGTATACACGAAGTGAACTGTCTTTATCTTCTTATTAAACAGTCTGTACACTTACAAAGTTCTCAATGCTTCATTTTGCATGTATGGAGCCTCATTATGTTACTGTGTGAGTGTGGGGCTGTTTTGAGGCTTGTTAGTGGTATAAACTAATGATTTCTTATTACTTATTATATGCCCCCATATACTAGCATTATACGCTAAACAGTTTTTAGGGATAAAACTCTTTACATTCGATTATCATGAAAACAAATCTCAGAGAACGGTCGACTAGGTACCGATGTTTTATTAGACCAAATTTTCATTTTGCGCCGGAGTTCTCCTTTAAGTGATTTATTTAATTTATTGAAATATATTTGCTTGGTGATGAATTTATTGATGTTACATTAGCCTATATATATTTAACTATATAGATAAATTATTTAAATAGAATAATATATAAATATTTAAATAATCTTTTAGCTATATAAAATATCGAATGATGTCGATTTTTTTTTTTTTTTATATTATTGAAATATATTTGGTTCGTGATGAATTTATTGATGTTACATTAGCCTATATATATTTAACTATATAGATAAATTATTTAAATAGAATAATATATAAATATGTAAATAATTTTTTAGCTATATAAAATATCGAATGATGTCGAATTTTTTTTTACAATAATAATTAATAGTGTATAATTATAATAATCGTTCATTTATATATATATATATATATGCTGAATAAGAATTTAGATTAATCAAGAATAATTAATGTATAAATTATTTTTAATTTATATGTCATGAACAGTGTAAAATTGCTGAGACTGGTGTCAGATTATTATTATTATTATTATTTTTTTCGTCTTTTAATTTATTGAGAAATAAATTGTGCATACAGGGAAAAGTCGGAGGTATACGATCAGCAAATGATGCAAACTAAAATTTGACACACACTACACCAGATATTAGAGCATGTGTGCAAAGACCTGTAAATCAAATCATAAACATAAAGCAGGCTGACAGTAATAACGACCTTACTTTGTCCATACTGGCTGTACTGGTAGGGGGCGCTGTGCTCTGTGCTGTAGAAGGAGGCCGGGCCGTAAGACGGAGGACTGGGCAGGTTGGAGCGGACAGGTAGAGTCGGCAGGTTCTCGACGCGCTGAGAGCACGAGCTGCTCACGGATACACACGACTCCAGAGAAAACTCAGCCTGGCTCTGGTGTGTGACTCCAGCTGGCGTTATCAGTCCCATAACCTACAGGGAAGGAGTTCTCAGTGTGAATCACACACTGTCTGTTCTACATAGTATATGAGGATGGGATTAGAGCATTTAAAATTATACTGCATTTAATATTCAGAAGTCATTTCACTCAAAACACAACAAAATGCAATGCATAATTCAAAACACCTCTAAATTATCAATACAGAAAATGATGTCATATTAATGAGATATGTCCGAATGGACAGGTCTTTGGTACAATATGCAAAAAAAAAAAAAAATATATATATATATGTTAGCAGTCAAAGCTGTTTTTGAGAACTGCTGGTATGCAATAAAAAGGGACTTGAGACGCTGTGTGTTTAGCCGTGGCTGTATTGTTTAAAATAACACACACGCACAGACACACACTTGCTTTCCAGATATCTGTGTAGATCTATGTGTCCTGCAATTGATCAGGCAAAAACAATAATTGAATTTGGGGATTTTTTTAATCTGATTCTAGGACTAGAACGGAGCCAGAGGGCAGTGCAGTGTATGTGTGTGTGTGTGTACTCGTATTATTTAACCTAGAAAACACTGTGCTGCATTTCAGGAATTTTGGATGTGTGCTCTGGGGAATAAAAGTTCCTGAAGCTTAATTGAATCTACCACCAGAATTATGGCCAAAATAAACACACACTCCAGCCGCTCCACCAAATAAGCACCTTTACGTAGAAACAGAAAGAGAAAAGCATGTCTCCCAGGCTACAGGATCCTATTACATCAGTGGACACAGTAAACGCAGTACAACACACACACACACACACACACAGACACGGTCACGCACATGGTCTCGCTTAAACCCTTTCCCAGAGTGACATGAGCCGAATCCAGGATCTGCGGCTCTGGAAGACTTTCTCTGCGAGTTTTGGAAAATTTAGCAACAGAAAAAAAAATTATTTACATGAAATTTCCTGGATAGTATTTAAACTTAAACTTCCAAGATACCACAACATTGCACAGCTATTGGTTGTAAAAAATCTTCTAAGTCTATTGCAGCTTACAACGGCTTACATATACATAGTAACCGGCCCATAAAACTAGCCGCTAATGATGTTTCTATGGATATATCTATGAGACTTTTTTAGAGCATATTTCCAATCAAATTTAATTAAGTAGCTTTCATTTTTTAAGTTTCATTTAAGAAAATACACATCACATGGGTTTGTAATATTTAAAAAGGGTCATCGAATGCCCATTTTCCACAAGTTGGTATGATTCTTTAGGGTGTTCATGTAAAGTCTGTAAAATACTTTGATTAAAATTCCTCAATGGTTGTGTAAAACAACACCCTTTTTACCTCAAAAACAGCTCTGTTCACAGCGACCCGTTTCGGTGCATGTCTCTTTAAATGATAATGAGCAACTGCTCGTCCCACCCCTCTCTTCCATGGGGGTGTCACACAGGACACATACAGTGATGCCTTGGTGGACAGTATACAAGTCGATGAGGGCGGAAATATGCTAATACGGGAAATATGGTAATACAGGAAATGTGTTATGATGGGAAATGTGCCAATACGGGAAATATGCTGATAGATGAAATATGCGAATACAAGAAATATGCTAATACAGGGAATATGGGAAATATGCGAATATGGGAAATATGCGAATACAGGAAATATGCGAATACAGGAAACATGCTAATACAGGAAACATGCTAAAACAGGAAATATGCGAATACAGGAAACATGCTAAAACAGGAAATATGCGAATACAGGAAATATGCTAATACAGGGAATATGCTAATACAGAAAATATGCTAATACAGGGAATATGGGAAATATGCGAATATGGGAAATATGCGAATACAGGAAATATGAGAATACAGGAAATATGCGAATACAGGAAATATGCGAATACAGGAAATATGAGAATACAGGAAATATGCCAATACAGGAAATATGCTAATACAGGAAACATGCTAATGCATATGCGAATATGGGAAATATGTGAATACAGGAAATATGCTAAAACAGGAAATATGCTAATACGGGAAATATGTGAATACAGGAAATATGCTAATACAGGAAATATGTGAATATGGGAAATATGCTAATACTGGAAATATGTGAATACAGGAAATATGCTAATACTGGAAATATGTGAATACAGGAAATATGCTAATATGGGAAATATGCGAATACAGGAAATGTGCTAATATGGGAAATATGCTAATATGGGAAATATGCTAATACAGGAAATATGCGAATATGGGAAATATGCTAATACAGGAAATATGTTAATATGGGAATATGCTAATACAGGAAATATGCGAATATGGGAAATATGCTAATACAGAAATATGCAACTATGGGAAATATGCTAAAACAGGAAATATGCTAATACGGGAAATATGCGAATACAGGAAACATGCTAATACAGGAAATATGTGAAATATGCTAATACTGGAAATATGTGAATACAGGAAATATGCTAATACAGGAAATATGCTAATACAGGAAATATGCTAATACAGAAATATGCAACTATGGGAAATATGCTAAAACAGGAAATATGCTAATACGGGAAATATGCGAATACAGGAAACATGCTAATACAGGAAATATGTGAAATATGCTAATACAGAAAATATGCTAATACAGGGAATATGGGAAATATGCGAATATGGGAAATATGCGAATACAGGAAATATGAGAATACAGGAAATATGCTAATACAGGAAACATGCTAATGCATATGCGAATATGGGAATATGTGAATACAGGAAATATGCTAAAACAGGAAATATGCTAATACGGGAAATATGTGAATACAGGAAATATGCTAATACAGGAAATATGTGAATATGGGAAATATGCTAATACTGGAAATATGTGAATACAGGAAATATGCTAATACTGGAAATATGTGAATACAGGAAATATGCTAATATGGGAAATATGCGAATACAGGAAATGTGCTAATATGGGAAATATGCTAATATGGGAAATATGCTAATACAGGAAATATGCGAATATGGGAAATATGCTAATACAGGAAATATGTTAATATGGGAATATGCTAATACAGGAAATATGCGAATATGGGAAATATGCTAATACAGAAATATGCAACTATGGGAAATATGCTAAAACAGGAAATATGCTAATACGGGAAATATGCGAATACAGGAAACATGCTAATACAGGAAATATGTGAAATATGCTAATACTGGAAATATGTGAATACAGGAAATATGCTAATACAGGAAATATGCTAATACAGGAAATATGCTAATACAGGAAATATGCTAATACAGGAAATATGCGAATATGGGAAATATGCTAATACAGGAAATTTGCTAATATGGGAATATGCTAATACAGGAAATATGCTAATATGGGAAATATGCTAATACAGGAAATATGCGAATACGGGAAATATGCTAATATTGGAAATATACAAATACAGGAAATATGCTAATATTGGAAATATGCGAATACAGGAAATATGCAAATACAGGAAATATGCGAATACCGGTATGCTAATGAAAAAAATTTTTTTTTTAAATTTAATTGATTCCTGTAATCAAAGCTGAATTTTCCTTTGGCGAAAATTCGCCAGTTCGAAAAGTTACGCCAGTCTATAACATGATCATTTGCTGCTCAACATTTCTGATTATTATCAATGTTGAAAACAGTTGTGCTGCTTCATATTTTTGTGGAAACCATGACAGGATTCTTTGATGAATAATCAAAAGAACTTATTTGAAATAGAAATCTTTTGTAACATTTTAAATGTATTTACTGTTACTTTAGATCTATTTAATTAAACTTTTCTGAATAAAAGTATTAATTTCTATTTAAATAATTCTATATACGCGAGACGGCACAGATTGAGACATCCATCTCAATATTACACTGGGATGCTTTGAATCTTAGCAACATTTTTCACGTATTAGTATTACCACTAGATGATGACAGCGAGAGTGTGAGACTGTAATACATTCACACCCGTTTAACCTGTAATTCACAGCGGTCTGTCACTGTTCTTGACAAACACCCCCCGTGGAGGAACCTTGTACAGATGAGAAACATGTGTGGGTCAGTCGTCCCATCTATCACACTGTGTGTGAGTGTTGCTTTGTCTTCTGTGCTTTGCTTTGCACGGTCCAGTGATAAAGCTAAAGATAACCGAATGAATAATGGCCCGTGGATGACCTGCGATGGAGGAATTTATCTGCGTAATGCATCGCCTTGAAGTGTGTAATAGTTTGTACAGAAGCCAGAAGAGCCCATTAAACTGACACTCCACTGTGGGTCAACAGGTGGGGGATCGACTACACCTTCACTGGGATGTTTTTGAGGTTTAAGGGCTTAAGCAAAAATATAAATAACATTTATCTCTTTTTCATGCAGTGGTTTAGGGTTTAAGCTGTCAATTACCACAGGAAATAATGATTCTAGAGCTCATAGTTTTGATTAAATTGTCAGATAAAACTGTTTTTTTGAGTTGTAAAGTGTCTAAATTGTTCTTTTGAGGTGGGACTACTTTTCTGTGTTGATGAACTTCTGATAATACGCTACTGATGTAATTCCTGTGAATGGAGTCGGCTTCATGTGAAAATACTTTACAGATTTTTAATGCACTCTTATGGAGGACTGGAAGCTCAATATAATGCTAAAACAAATATTTCAGTAAAAACGTCAATTAGTATTTATACTGTATTTTTAACTACTGGCAGTAATTAAATCATGAACTGAGCAAATGAACGACTAATATTTGCATTTTTCCACCGAAAAAGTTATATATTTTAAATATTTATATGTAGTATTAAATTAAATACTATAAAAGTTATAAAAAATATCTAAATATTATATTAAAAAATAATATTATATTACAATAATATTTATTTATTTATTTATTATATTAAATGAATAACATTTATATGTAATATTATGCAATATATTCTAGATTATTAATTATTATTTATTATATTAGTATATTATTAAATATTACGGTTTTCACTATACAGTATATATATATATATATTCAGTGAAAAATATAATATTAAATAATATTCTTATTATTTTCAGTATATATATAGCCACATCAGAATTTTTTAATATTTTACTTGGCTGCTGGACGTCCATGATGAGTGTGTTACTGTATGCAAAATAAGGGACTTTATTTTGTGTGCTAATCAACATCAGGCCAATGATGCTTTACTTTTTCGATCCACTTTAATGTTCAAGTCATTGGTTAAACCAGTCATGACCCTCCAAAAAAGACTGGGAATCTACTTAATAATACTGACTGGTATGGACAAATTATTTTTAAATAACTAGAAAGTAATTCTGTGACTTTATTACCTGAGAAGACAGTCCATTATTGATGGAAGAGTTAGCGTGACTGTTATGAGGTCCACAGGTATCTGAATATCCTGCGTAACCATGGCGACTCGGGAGACAGTAGGAAGCCCCGCCCTCCGGCCCCGCCCCTCCTGGACTGTGATGATGCGGGAGCGGCTGAGGTCTGTGTACAGTGCTCGAATCTGAGAACAGATATATCCATATAATGGTTGCAGACTACATCACAATGTATTTTAGCTAAAACTGGAATTTAATTTAAAATGTTTACCTTGAGAAAGGCCAGCGGGTGGGTACGGGCTCTCTGACAGCTGATACGGGGAGAGACTGGACATAGCCGGATGTGAAAACCCACCAGGGATCAGGTGATTGAACGCCATGATCTGATTGGCTCCCGCTTGCTTCCTCCAACGAGCTCGTCTGTTACTAAACCACACCTGAGAAAAGACAAACAGGAAACAGTTCATATGTCTTTTTTTTAATTCTGTCTATTCATTTTGAGGAGTATGGGTGTATTTGTACCTGTACTCGTGCCTCTGAGAGTTTAGCTCTCTGAGCGAGCTCTTCTCTGGTGTAGATGTCAGGGTAATGTGTGCGTTCGAAAGCTCTCTCCAGCTCCTCCAGCTGTTCGGCCGTGAAGGTTGTTCGACTGCGCCGCTGTTTCCTTTTCAGCGGCAGATCGGGCTCAGATTCCACCTCTGAACCGTCATCAGACGGACTCGCTGAAACACATGCAAAGTATGCAAAGAATAGAGATTTTTTTTATTAGATTATTTAGATATTTATTTAAAGGGATCATGACATTAGAAATCTAATTTACCTTGTTATTTTGACATATAAGAGGTCTTTGTAAAAACTATTAAAACATCCTGCAAGTGTAACCGGTCCGGCTCGAACCACTCCGAGGGAGATTCGAACCCGGGTCGCCTGCATGAGAGATCTCTTGAGATCAGGGGAGTGAGGTTTACACGCATAGCTCTTTACAACAGTTACACTCACACACCCCTAAACCAACCTAACTCACCCCATTACCCCTAAATATTTTCTACAATTTTATAATGTGTAATAAAAACAAATTAAACATAAATATTTGAATTGGATTGGGTTTTTTACTATTTTGGAAACAGCAAATGTTTATGGTAACCATACAATCATTTAAAGTCGACCTACAACATACACAAATACAAACAAGCAGAAGCACAAAACTGGCAGAACTACAAACAGGGTTTCTGCAGGTTTCTCAAAGTCAAATTTAGGACTTTTTAAGACCATTATGAATGAAATTTAAGACCTATATCACAAAAAAATGTAAAAAAATATGTTTTAAGTGCTGAAGCAAAAATATAAATAACATTTATCTCTTTCTTATGCAGTGGTTTAGGGTTTAAGCTGTCAATTACCACAGGAAATAATGTTTCTAGAGCTCATAGTTTTGATTAAATTGTCAGTTAAAACTGTTTTTTGAGTTGTAAAGTGTCTAAATTGTTCTTTTGGGGTGGGACTACTTTTCTGTGTTGATGAACTTCTGATTAGGGTTGGGTCAGGGTATGTGAGCGGAGTGGAGCGGCAACAATTTCCCCTCCACGCTCCAAGCATTATATAATCACTCCGCTCCAGCTCCGCTCCGGGTTCACCATTTACCGCTCCCGCTCCACTCCTCGCTCACTGATATCAGAAACACCGCTCCGTGTTCGCTCCCCAAGGAAATTCCGAATAAAGTATTTAAGTATGCTTTAAAATCTCACAAAATGTCTCCTCATCATAATAGATACATAGGCATAGTAAATAAATAAAAAACAACGTTAGGAGAATAGTTGCAATGTTGTTTATTGGATTTGGATAGTGTGCAAACTTTTCCTATGACATGCTATGCTTATTACAGGTTATCAGCATTATAAATTAAATATCATTGCTGCTTTTTGCAGAGCACAGTTTGTTTGGAAAGAAGAAAATAACGTTTTCATCAGTTATTTATCTACGGGTCGCTACATTTCTCACAGATTCATGCTCATTTAAAATCAAATACTGACAGATAGCCGACTGTATGATTACATTTGTTTGAATGCCATGCATTAGTGAGAAAGCGATTGCGTTGGTGAATAAGTGTTACCTGTTTAAAATGTGCTTTCACCCCGCCCGATCCAGCGCCCCATCTCATGAAAGTGCGTAGGCTATCTATATTTTATTTCTCGTGGGCATAGCCTACGATACGCACTTAATGGCAAGAACGCACTTCACACCCATCCTAACCAAGGGGTTTAGTGTGCGTCATTTGCACGCACAAACAATTTTTTGGCATATAGGCTAATAATAGGCACGAGAAATAAAATGTGTGCTATAGATTCGCACTTTCATGAGATCGTGGTGCCCGCTCATATTCAGTACAGGCTTGACTATAACCTCCCCGCAGCCACTCATGTCCATCGGCGTCATCATATTCATAACCCTCACATTTTTTTCTGATTTGAGTGATCCATCGGTATCATGCTAGCGTAATGTGTTTAACACGTGAATCCTTACTAAAAATGCAGTTCTATAATGAGCCGTTGGCATGAATTGTCCTCGTGAGAGCGGTAGTGGAGCGCGCTCGGAGCGAGTGAAAACCACGACGCTCCGACTTTTAAAAAATCCGCTCCGCGCTCCATTCAAAATCATGCCGCTCCACTCCTCGCTCCGCTCCCACTCCACTCCGCTCACATACTCTGGGTTGGGTATCGTTTGAATTTGAACGATTCTGATTCCGATTCCGAGTCCTTGTTTCGATTCCGGTTCCTAACGATTCTCGATTCCGATTCTTTTAAGAGGCAGGGTCAAAAAAGTTTAGCTAACCTTGCTAACCAACGGTCTTTCTGAAGGAAATAATCCTTTCTGAAGGAAATAGTCCTTCTGTCACAAATACTCCTTTTGTCACAAATTTTGCATTTTGCCGAGATTTCGTTATTTTTTAGAAAAGTGAAGCCACACTTTGGACCGCCGACGTAAGCTACTCACGTTTGACTCGCGCGGTTATGCCAACACTTCCGGTAGACGCTTCTTCGTTGGTGTTGTTCAGCGGTTTCTTCTTCCGCTCAGCGGACTGTGAATATCGAAACTAGAGGTGTTTCTCAATGTCAAGGATACTTCCTTGGCAGGACGGGTCCTTCCAAGTCATTTCCTTCAGAGGCTAGGCAAGGGTCCTCTTTAGCATTCGGAGAACACGTAAATGGAACAGGCTAGCAAGTGCACGTCATTGCGTCATTACATCAGTGAAAGGTACGCTTCGGCGCTGCAAAAATCATTGTGCTGGTGTACTGCACTGTTTAAATACACTTGACAGTCCTTATTTTGTCTTGTCAGTCCTCATAGAAATAAATAAATAAAGGGATAATGTATAACCAGGCGGTTGTTATAGTGAATACAACCCCGCAAACTCTAAAGCAGAGGGGTCTTGATCAGCCGGTTGTATTCGCTGTAACAACCGCCTCGCTATATATTTTCCCACTTATAACATGGCTACCTACCAAATAAATCAATAATTTGACACAAAATATTGATTTAAAAAGGAGTTTATTCATTCAAAAACGATTATATTACCGGAGTTAACAGAACTACCTCCATATAGCAACATGATCTAACGTTAGCTGTTAAAACACATGCAATTGTAAAATATGTGACCAACAAAAAAGGCTAATGAAGTAAAAATTAAAAAGTTAATCACCAGTAAAAGGGAACAGCTTTAAATCCCCTCAGCAAATTTGAGCCGATATGTTAAATAGTTTAACAAACATTAAATAAATGGCTAAACTGAAATTATACTTGCTTACATTTGAAAGCATATTGCCGTTATCACTCCGACTCCGCTAACGGTCGACATTTTTTTATTTTTTGATCAAGATAGCAAAGCTGCGCATAGGATTGTGGGTGATTTAAGAGCGCGAAGGCTACACATATGCATCCTTTCCTGTGTATGGGATATTTTCCGAACGAAGGACTCAGTCCTTGGTTAAAATTCTGAGGATCCTCGACATTGGAACAGTCCTTCGACGGACGTCGATGACGTAGCATCCTCGAAATTCCGGCTTCCGAGGATCCTTCCTTGACATTGAGAAACGCCTTAGGAATCGAAATTTTAACTTTTGAACGATTCCGGGAAAAACGAAAAGTTAGTCCCGTTTCCAATCGATACTCGATTCTCGATACCCAAGCCTACTTCTGATAATACACTACTCATGTAATTCCTGTGAATGGAGTCGGCTTCATGTGAAATTACTTCAAACAGTACGAAAGAGAAAAACAAAGAAGAAAAGAAAGAATGGATGATCATAATATTAAATGGGAAAAAAATCATATAGGAGAAAAACCTATGGAAAAAACCTGATCCAAAGTAAAAGTTGAAATGCTTTTCAAAATCAGCCATTGTAGGCTACCTATGAGGACTCATCGCAAACTATGGGAAATTCCTACAATTTCACAGGGATTTGGCTTAGGGAACGCTGAACTTTGTGGAAAACTGTTCATCAGCCTGGAATGACTTCACAACAACACATGCCAAAAGGAGAAGCTGGTAACTATATATTAATTGGGCTGGAATTAAAGGAGATTCATATTTATTTAATTTATAATCTTCAGACATTGAGCTATTAGTGCATCTCTCTCTCTCTCTCTCTCTCTCTCTCGCTCTCAGTCTTTGTTGGATTGATTTGCACGCTCCATCTGTGGAATCCGTCACGACGGCTAGGGCTCTCAGTGGAGGCTGTCACCTACCCTGGAGGGGGTGGAAGGGGCATCCAGAAGGCCAAAGGTGGGTGTGTGTGGGGCGAAAAGTGAAAAAGCTGGGCCAGAGTAGTTCAAGAGCTAAATCTCTTCAAAAACCCATTCACATGAAGCACAGAAGCACCTGAAACCTCAGATCTGGATGTGGACACAGATAATCTGAAATCCATGCAAATCTGATTCTGATCCAACCCATTAAAGGAATAAGGGCTGAATAATGAGTGGGTTTTCTAGTTCTGTGCACTCGCATACATATTTAGTTCAGGCATGAAGACTGATTTGTCTTTTACAGGCAATCTGCAAGCAATCACATTGGTCTTGATGAGATTGCTTGCTCAGCATTTTAGTCTGGTTCATTAGTCCCTCTGAAACCCTCCACCTCCCCCAGCTCCACCTGCCTAGAGTCCTTACTGGAGCAATAATAAGCCAGAGCATTGCAGATCTAGTCCGACAATACCAAACACATTAACATTGCCATATTCATCAACATGCCAAAACTAATTTGAGAGCTGTCATGATTGAAATAACTTTTGTTCAAATTGGTTTATTATTAGGATAAAGCCCTTGAGATGCATCATCTTGTTTTCGAGGGGGTCCCAAAATATGTGTGCGAAATACAAAATGGAAAAAGATTCTGTTTTCCATAAAATTAAAGTAGATGGTGATTTAAGCTGTGAAAACTGGTAAGTGGCTATGTTACGGCATCTAACACTTAAATTTAATTTTGGGGTGTAGCCTTATGTATTTTGGGTGATTCAGTGACTTTACAAATTCTATATATATATATATATATATATATACATATATATACATATATATGAAGAGTTCAGATGCAAAAGCCTCTAAATGCCATTTGAAATTTTCTTCTTTAATGATGATTTTTATCAAGCTTGTATATTTAAGTTCAGTGATTTCACTTAAATGGCAATGATAATTACCTATTAATTGTTATTTAAGTGAAATTATATGA